AAGGAAAAGGGGAGGGAGAAGGAGCGGGGGGGCGGGGGGGGAGGGTCCTGATGCTGATGTCTCTGCTATAACCTTGGTTGCTACCGAACAGCAGCAGGCTCTGCCTTTACCTTTCGGTTATTGGCTTGTCACTCTGACCACGACCCATGTGGTGCGGGCGGCAGCCAATGAAACACAAGTAATACCCCTTGACTGGTGGTCAGTGTTTAAAGAGACAGCGCTTTGCACCTTGTGTGCCTTATTTTTTTTTTTTATTATTGTTTTTATCGATTTAATCCAACCATTGCTGTGTTGCTTTTCAATAAAGCGTCTTAGATTATAATCTGGGAAAAGAGCTGAACAGTGAAAAGGGCCTGAAGGACAACATTTCTGAGCATGTGTCTTTGTTTGTTTGTTTACGGTGTGTTAAGACGATGGTAAACAGAACCCCTGTGAATACGGACACAGCTAGTCCACAGTAAAAAAACAAAAAAAAACCTACGCATCATGGAGTCACACACATGACTATTCCCACTCAGTCTCTCACTCTTACTCACGCTGCCGCTCGCACACATATTTTCGACAGACATGCATGCTGTCTTGTCGCGCGTGCGCACTCGAGTGGAGGCAGGCAGGCACAGGCGTCAAAAGACACACACACACACAGACACGCAGCCACGTGCACACGCCTGCAACCACACTGGCTGATTAGCTTGCGAGAGCTGTCTACAGCATCCAGGGAAATGGCGCAAGAGGCAGAGCTCCGGAGGAGGAACAGCAACCCCGAAACGGCAGGATTAGATTAGACAGAACCTCGGGCGTATTTTGGAGAGCTAATAAAACTGACTTGAGTTTAGAGCAGGATCTTGGAGAGCTGTCGGGAAGCAGCTTGGGCTTCACACCGAGGACTGACTGCTGTGGCTGTGCTTTAGACAGGTTGATGCACGGGTACAGGACCTGGGCTGGGCCTCTGGATCGGTACCCTGGGGGAGGGGCAGTTGACGCAGGAAGCGGGAGCATGTTTTTCCAGACCACAGCTCGGGTTTGATTCCTCAGCCTGACCGGCTGCTGCAGGCCTGTCTGCATCCTTCTCCGTCTGTCTGTCTCTTCCTCTCTCTCTCTCTCTCTTGTTTGTCTCTGTACGTCACCTTTCCCTCGGCTTGCTTCTCCCTGAACGTTCCTGCTGTCATCCACGCTTTCTCCCCCCCCCCCGCCCCCCCATCATTGCACACCACAGTCATCCGTCCGCTCGGCCATCAGCACCCTCCGCTTCCTCTCCCTTCCACCGTCTGAGGTTTTTATCCCTGCCGGTACAGCAGCTCAGCTCCCGTACTGTCACCTTCCATTTACGTCTCTCACATTCCTACTCGGCTCTCCTCCGTGTCCTTCAGATATTCCCTCTCTCCCTCTCTCCCCTTCTGGTCCCCTTCATCTTTATTCCTCCGGATCCTATCCGCTCCTCTACACCCCGCAATGACTTAAGATTTGGGTCAGTCCGCTCAGCAAATAGGATACAATGTAGTCTCCACAGCAGCCGGATGCTGGGGGCTCCTGGTCTGCCCGTCGGGAGGGGAACCTTAACATTGGACCATAGTGAAGCCCGGAGCTTGACGCTGGACTGACCGAGTGGCTCGCGTTTGAGGTGCTGCATGTAGGCAAGGACTTTCTACACCCGCAGCCCCTTGCCCTTATCCCTGTCCCTTCTCCCCCCCCCCTTTTCCCCTCTTGGGGCAGCCGTCACTCTGGAGTGTCCCGGTTTGACGAGCTGTGGTCTCTCCCCACATACCCGGACGACGCCCTCATGCCACTGGGGCGCCCAAAGTTCCCCCGTCCCTCTCCACTATCGCACCACCTGCTTGTGTCAGCGTCCTAAACCCCCCGTCACTCTCAACATGGGCGTCGTTGAGGCGATCGAGCCCATGCCTTCCGCCTGCCCCTCACCTGTGCCAGGAGGTTACAGGCTGCCCCGCTCCTCCAGCTCCCGCCCCCCGCAGGGGGGGCCAGGGGCAGAGCCGGACCCCGGGGCAGCCCGCG